CAACCTTCAACCCCACCCCCCTTAAGATCTCCTCCAGAGTCATTATCAATGACTTTCAATGACTCCCCGTGCTAAACAACACCAAACTATCCAGTCATATTGTCACTTACGCCTGTTTTGTAAACACACAAAGCAGGCGGGCATTGTCCCAAAAGTGACGTGATGACTCTTTTTCCTGCGTCTCCCACTGATCGTCACACATGCGGGCAGCGGCGGTGAACCAAACTGTCGCCTGGGTTTCTACGGGTGACTGGAGAGCTGACTTTTGGGCTCCCAGGCAAACGAGCACATGACAGATTAGTGTGTGGGCCTCCTCCAGGCTTCCACCTCTGTGACCCTTAGGAGCCCCCTCTTTACCCCCTCCTCACCCTTTGCTCTTACCCCCTAAACAACACCCCCTTCTCCCTCCTTCTCCTTTGTCTCCGCCCTCACTTTATCCCAACTAACACAACAACACAAGGACGTGAAAGCAAACAGATTTTAAAGATGCATCACACCCACATAGAAAGTTGTTCATCTATAATATGTCTGGCTTAAAAAAAAGTTATTTATGTTACACTGAAGATGTCAAATATAAACAAAAGAACATTGTAATTGCGGCAGATGATAAGCACATAAACCAAGTTGCTGAGCGTGCAATTAAAAAAACTTCTTGTGCAATGCAATGTGCAAAACACTGGAAAGATAAAGTGGCAAATATGGAATAAAGAGAATTCAGGAGTTTAATGTAAAAAGGAGAAAGGGGCTCGGGTATCTCAAAGTGTTTGCAGATGTGTGTCTCCAGCAGTTAAATGCTGCTTGTACTGGAACAACACACACGGATTAGATGGACTAGAGGAGCTTAAACAAAAACTGGGGACACTACAGAGCTGACTGTTTAGTCTACTCAAACAACATGCCCTCTCTTTCCACAGGGGGGACGACTTTGTACACTTGTTTATCGTTTTTGGGACAAACATCCGTTGCCAGGGTCCGGCCTCGCCTGCGCCCATGTCTCGTGAATGACCCTAGCTGGCTCTTTTATGTGCGCCTATAAAGGGCGGTCGAGAGAGCAGCTAGGAGGGCTCGACCTGACGATGACACCCTGTTGTCATGGAGACTAATGCTATGTTGGGCTTGGGATTGGGAGTGGAGGTGGGGGGGAGGAGGAGGAGGAGGAGGGGGTCGGGGTAGCTACTGTCAGTCGTGTCTAATGATGTTTGCAGCACAATGTACTCATCTACACGCAGAGTGTGATGAGTGCTCACTCTGGTTAACGCCTGCATTAACAGAGACTCTTTTCAGATCTGCTTTAACTCTTATTCTTGGTGTACAAAGATATTACAGTATACAATAATTAGAATTTCATCAAGTCATTTAGTAAAAGATTTTGAGTTCTTGCTTCACACTGTTGTTTCCTAAAGGACGCAAACATGTACAGTACAAATGACTATATTAGAATAGTGGCCCATGGTTCAAAATTGGCCTCTTTTAATCCATTAGACTTAAACTAAACTAATACATGCATGGCATTTTGTTTCTGAACACCACTCCTACTGCTCACAGTCCAAGGATTTTCCAAATGTCCAAGGGATATATCACTTCCCTTTCAAGGAGCCCAGGGGAGCAATACACCTGGCTTAGCAGCTTAACAGAATTTCCCCAAACACCCAGGCCAAAGGGTGGCCCAGCACAAAACCTGAGACGCTTGATGCTTGAGAGGGCTACCTACTTACCCATCTGACTGACCACTCACCCCCCCATCCCCCCCCTCACACCTCCTCTCTCCCCTCTCTCTTTCTAAACTACCACATACCCACGTGCGCGACCCTCTCAACTGGCCGAGTTGTGCTCCTGAGGTCCCTTATTTATTTTCATAGGTGTTTGAGGGTTTACACTAGTCAAAAGACAAGGCCAGAGCCCAGAGTGGTATCTTTGGATTTGAGTGCTTCCTGTTTTCATTGCAAGGCCGACCTCTTGTCTTTACAGGGGTGAGCAAAGGCTAGCAGGGGGTGAGAGGGAAGGAAGGCCAGGGGCGCCGAGGGGCTAATTGTAGATTTTAGCGTTTGCGTTTGCCAAACAAAAGGGCATCACCTCGTGCAACAATGAGAGAAAAGCCCCCCATCTTTTTTATTTCTTAGTATTCACATTCCTTCTCTCACTTCTCCTCTCCTCGTTTTTTTTTTTTTGTGTAGCTTTTGAAGCACACTAGAACATTTTACCCCTTACAGTGAAGTTTACCTTTCTGATAACATAATCTCCCTGTAGTATTGAAAAGCTTATACCAACAGTCTGGGATTTTCCTTCCCCTAATGTGGCTGGAAGACATCCAGAAACTCATGGAGAGGGAGGGAGAGAGGGAGAGAGGGAGGGGTATTAGAGAGAGAGAGAGAGAGGGTGGGAGGAAGGATAGAAGCAGGGAGGTGAGAGACTGTCTGACCCTCTTCTGCCAGCTTACACCAGCTGATCTGTCCAACCATTTGCCAATTACATATAGGGCATTTAAGGTTGCCAGCTCACGTGCTCTGTGATGCTGCATGTGTGTATGGACTCGACATAAATAAGGTCAGCTTCATCAGCTTCTCTATAGAATAACAGCTGAATCATCTTTGAAGCATCAAAAATTTAACTTTTTGGTTCCATTGTTGGCAAATATGGGTTGAGATAGAGTACATTTCTATTAGCCTGATCAATAAGAAAACCCTTTTTTTGTGATTTCTCCCAGGAGAGTGTGAGGTCAGAATAAAGCGAGGGGTAGGTGGGGAGGGGGAGCGGGAGAGGGCAAATTTGTTATACTGAATCCAAAAGCCAACAGTTGTTACTATTGGCCTGTGTTGTTTTTCTGCGTGTGAAGGGGGGTCCTCTCCTTTTGAGCTTTTCAGAGGACGTGACAATGGCTGGATGTTGAGAACATATGTAGAGAGACCCCTGCGGCTCATGCAAGAGGAGCTCCATGCTGGCCCCACAGTTTGAGAAAATACAAGGCCGCTCCTTTCACTCCTCACCCCTCAGTTAATGAATGCATGAATGGCAGAATGCCGCTATAGGCCATTCAGGGGCCAAAGTCCCCAAGAATTCACCCTCTTGCACAAACGCATCCCGCAATAGCAAATACATTTGCTTAACAAATTAAAAGAAAGGAGAATGGCTAATGGGTGTGAGTGTGTGTGTGAGAGAGAGGGAGAGACTGAGTGAGAGAGTTTATGGGTGGGAGAATTGGATGGTGAGAAGGGGGATAATTCAATTAGTCCTCTTCCTCAGTAGAGAAATGAAGGCAGGTTAAAAGGGAGGGATTATTATTTGTACAAGACTGGCCAGGGCTTCGTACAAAAGAAACAAATAAAGATTGGAGAGAACATCTACAAGCAGGGGATGTGATAAAGCAGAGAGGGACGGAGAAAGAGAGGGCCTTGAATTAACCGCCTGAATTGACCGGCTGTCTGAAAAATGCGCCTGTGTCCCGGCATTGGGCTCTATTCCTCCTCCTTTTCTTTCCCTTCTTTCAATTCAATTTTAAAACAACTCTAAAGAAAATTGTTGGCGACTCTCCTCAGAGCTCCGTAAGCGTCATTCTGTCTTTGTCTTTGCATCTTTTGCAGAGGTTTTGTGAGGCTTTCATCAAAAGAATAGAAGACATTTAACGTTTAAACTCGATAAGATGTTTTATTTTTAATGCAGTTAAAAAGTTAGAGTAGATCTCAATTAAACAAATATCGCTTTTTTGGTTGTTCTTCTTGATTCCCCAACGAGATCTAAATCAAATGGAAGAAAAAAAATCTTCTGAAATGATGGGGAAAAAAAAGTGTATTCTCGCCTCCTGCCCTCAGTCTGTGAATGAAGCCTGGTGCATACGCGTCGACGAGAGCTCTCCAGTCAGGGAACGATGGAGCTGTGAACAGCTGTGAAGTCATTTTGATAATGATGAGAATAATAAGCATGCAGACTGGCGTGGTGGAGCCGCTAAGGCCTGCGAGGCTCAGGGCTTTGCTGTTGCAGCTTCACTGCTCCTGAATAGATAAAAGTGATTAAAGCACTCCTGATTATCCCTGACCAATATGTAATGGATTTACAGCCCTTTCAATTAGGCCGTATTTGCTGGCCACACAGTACTTGGGGTTTTGGTTAGGTAATCAGGGTACAGAGGGCACGGGTGGGTGGGGTGGGTTGGGGGGCGAGAGAGGGACACAAGGTGCATCTGACCGTCTTAAATTTTGTCTGGACTAAGTCTTCTCTATATTCTTTTCTTGTATTGTCCCTCTGTCTCTAGGACATGGAGCCACGTGCTCAGAGAGCAGCTTATGTGTCCTGCCGTGGCCACCTCCTCCTGAAATCTGACCTGTGTTGCAAAATCAATACAGCCTGATGTTCTGATAATGTCCTGACATTAGTGAGGGTGGGGGGACATGTGGTCCTTCCCTTAACCATTGCCATAGATCTATATATATATATACACACACACACACACACACACACACACACACACACACACACACACACACACATTAGCATTCACTTTCTCAGGCTGAAACATGAGAAAACAATCTTTTATTTCACTTTAAAATGTGAAATAAAAGCATTTTTAAAGACTTGGGCAACATCTTTTTTTTACCGATGAACTATCCACCAATAAAGGAATGTGCGTGCTGTACCTGACTGTCGACACACCTTCACATCACAATCCTACTCCAGTAACTACCACTCCTAAACTTAGCCTGCCCCCCCCCAAAAAAAACATTCTTCTTCAGGCCAAACAAACAGTGCATCTCATACTGGAGCAAATGTCATGAACTGCTGGGCTGTCCATCTCGCACTCTGAATGTGCTGAGCAGAGTAAACAGTCCAAGCTGATTAGATTGACCTGGCCGCCGTGTCCCTGTGACAGGCGGCTGACAGTCGAGCATCACAGCGCTGCTGCCACTCAGCGACAACTTTGTGACAAGTGTGTGTTTGTGTGAGCAAGATTTTTTGAGTGTGTGCAAGTTTTCAAAAAAAAAATAAGAAAAAGAAAAGTCCGTGCTTACCGTGAGATGCTGGAACAGCCACGCCCTCATGATGTTAGTGGCCACCTTGGGGAAAATGCCACGCTTTTTCTGCCTCTTCTTATCCTTGTCTGGATCGTCGTCATCCCCTGTGCCAGGCGATGCAACGCTGTTGTCTAAGCCATCTCCTAGACGGAAACCAAACCCGGGGTTAAATAACATCCCAAACTACAACGCAGCACTGACTCAGAATTTTTTTTAAAACATCCTGATCTTAAAAATTCTCAGAGCTGAAACAGAGATACAGACAGACAAAGCTGAGTTTAAGGCCTATGAGGAATGGATAAACGGACAAATACCACAGATAAGAAAGTCAAAAGCACTGTACTGAGGCCTCGCAAAGCCAGGGTTGTATAGTGGAAGAAATGGATGTAGGAGGGGATTGAGATGGCCTTAGCCTGAGAGTGAAGGGGTTTACACTGAGTTGTTGTTCACCTCAGAGCACGGCAGAGGGGTAGAAGGGTTAACGACTCTCATGTTATGCTTGGACGCTATGAGGGTAGTTCTACAGTAGGAGGAGGAGGCCACAAAAACAGAGCAAGACGACAAAAAAAAAAAAAAAAAAGGACAAGGAGCCTTCACGTACGCAAGAGGCTCGGACTCGTGTCATTAATTCAATTAAATTTGCATGCTTGACATAATGTAGAGCTTTTTTTTTTTTCATCTTTTGAAGAGAGCCAAAGGGGACAGGAAGGAGTAATACAGTAGTTCACAGACATTCGAGCATTCATGTTGCGTGCACATACACACACTGGCATACAAACAAAACTCAAAGGCGTTGATAATTCACAGCAAAGTAGGGATGTGATCTGGGGTGCTTCATTGTTGCACTTCGATGCACATAATGGACTCTTCTGCCCCCCCCCCCCCCTACACCACCCCAAACCCAGACTCTCTTAGTTGTCCTCTACCCACTCCCATCCCTTGCAGCAACCCCTCCCCATTCCGCCACATGATTAGCATGACAGGCCAGCGGCGGCTTCGCCTACATTAATGTCCGTCAGCGTTTGATTTCAAGGGGAAAAAACATGCACAAACCCTGGCACGATTTCTCCTTTAAAATCGAAGTTTTCCATCTTTGTCCCTTGCCTTTTTCTTGTTCTCCTTCCTCTGCATTAATTGTGCATTAGCAAAAATGATTTACTTTTAAGAGTCATAGTTATTTTTTCTTGCCCCCGGGCACAAATGCCTTGAAAGCCTTCCTTGAGGGCATCTAAATTATGTATCTGAAAAACTCCTCCACTAAGGCAGGGAAGGACCCCGACGTTCTCAAAATTCAGACGCGCATGTCCTCCTGTTTTTGGGGAGGCATCAATCACGAGCACCTATATAAGCCTTAATCTCGCATAAATATTTGAACTAATAACATTAAAAAGGGGGGAAAGAAAAAGGATCCGACTGGTGGCGTAATCAAATGCAAAATAAATGAAGAATACAAGGACAGCAGGGGCCCTCTCTTCAAACTACTTTCCCCACTTTCTTTCCCTTTTCTCCCCCCTTGTTTCTCCCCCTCTTTTTTTGTTCTCTCTCTGTCCTTCTTTCCTTTCTCTGCACTGTTTTCCTTCCACATCATTAGTGCGGAGCCACACGAAAGGCGAAAACAGAGAAGTGCAGACTTTGCGCTCCTTTGCACCGACAGAAGTTAAAGAAGCAGCAGCCCCCACTGAAGGACATATGGGAAGGGGCACGCAGACTAGGGGTGTTGTAATTGTAGAACAGGCATTCATTAGTGGCAAATGCCGTAAATCCCAAGCTAAGTACGAACCCTTGTTCAGGAAAGCCTAAAACAATAAACTTTGGTCTGGCCGTAGCGCTGCCCTGACTGTGAGGGGTTTCCTGAGAAATGCGACCCAGGCGGAAGTTGAGCCCGAACTCCCCCAGTTTGCTTCCAAACTTCAATAACAACACAAGTAGTGAGCTGTGAATTTAAACCACCCTCCCCTTGTTGCTCCGCTTTTGAGCTCCACTGAATAACGTTGATACACACTTTGCTTGTTTGTTTGTGTGCCGCAAGGTTTTGTGTTGATTTTCGAGCCGGTCCGCAAATCCCTCTCCCGCTGTGAGCAGTCAGGCTCATCCAATGGAACCACACAGTGGCCAAAAGGCTGGCAGATAAATTTTATTGACGTTTCCATTTTCACTGCAATGCGATAGCCTCCCCCCTGGCCAGGGCCGGAGCGACCCGTGCGTATTTACAGACTGACCTGTCACTTCATTACCCAGCATGCTCGCTGCCTCCCTGCCCTAGTCTGTGAGGGTGAAACTGGACTCCAAGGCTTTCAGCTCCTCTGTCCCTCTTCATGCATGCTCATGTGCGCGCACAGATTAGACATGTTTGGAATATGTGTGCAGCACTGAGGAGATTTATTAAAACTAAGAGAGAATGAAGGAAAATCAAGTGTGGATGGAAGATTAAAAGGAAGGAACAAAAAAAGAAAGGATCAAGGAGAAGGAGGAGGAAGAACAGAAGGAGTAAAAAAAGAATCAAGAGGGCCCAACTTGCACAACCTCATTACATCTAAAGGAGAGCTGGTGCTTTGCATCCACCCCCACTCCTTTCTTACGAGCGAGAGAAGGAACGCTGCAGGGCAAATTGTCCCAAACGCTAATGGCTTCTGACTGTTCCCTGGCAACTCTGCCATTCTAACCTGTGTGGATGTGCACTCTGTGAAAAAAAAATGGGGGGGAAAAAAAAAGTACAGGGCAGAGCAGGGGGAAGTGTCCCATCATCTGGCCATGTGACACAGATGGGGGTTGGCTATTAGGAGGCAGCCGAAAGGCCTGAGGGAGCCGAGGTGCAGGAGTGTAGCCCCAGGCACTTTTGGAAAAGCAGCGCCCTTGGAGACGGAAAAAAAGACAGCCCCCCCCACCCCTCCCTCATTCCCCCCCACTTTCTTTCTGTCTCTCTCCTTCTCCCTCCTCCACTCCAGCAATATCTTGACTTAAAGTGCTCGCAACGAAACTTTGTGCATATTTTCACAAGCGCAAGAAACGAGATGGTGTAATCAGGCGAGATGGAAGACAATGACCAGATGCAAACCGGGGGGGGGGGGGAGGGGGAGTGAATGAACACACAAGCAAACAAACAAGTCGGAGAGCACATTACGCTCACATGCATCCCCTCTCTCATCACCGCTGGGTGGTTATTAAAAATGCATTCAGTATATATCTCCCTGTAAGTAAATTGGTCTCAGGGCTGAGCTCATTAACGGGCTGGGAAAGGACTGTAAACATGCTGCAACTCTGCTTATCTTGCGTTGGCACATTCAGGGTCGCTTCAGGATTTCTTGCACAAAGAACTGGTTTTTCGCACACAAAAGTGTCCCAGAGTCCGCGAATCCAGGGGAGGCCTAATGACTTTGGAGATCATGCTTCATGTCGACGAGGCACCATGCCCCCTCAGGGAGCCACTACAGTCTAGTCTGCCCTGGAAGCATAATGGATACAGCCGCGAGTATTACATACATTGCAGCTCTGTCAGAGCCCCCATCCTATACACTCATACATGAATGAATAATGACTGGTCAATAGTTGGACAGCACTAAAATCCAGTCATGGTTAGTTATAAAATAACACTCCTGACTTACTGGTCCCTATACTATGAATACACCTTCTTAAAGCCTCTAGACACGCATTAGATGCCGTGTTGTGTGCGTTTTATTCTGAAGGCCATGCAGTGATTTTGCACAGTGAGGCCCCTGCATTTGTTTCAGACTAATGAAGCAAGAGTGTAGAGGCAGTGGCTTATGGAAGCTGTGGTTAAAGTGACTAATTACAAGAGACCCCCCAAGCCCGCTGTCAGCCCGAACTAGTCAGGCATGTTCACCCAAGCTCGCTCAAATGAGGCGAGGGGAGGAAAAAGTTAGAAGGAAAAGAGGAGTGCACGGAGAACAGAAGCTAAGCGCTAGCAGCAGCAGCAGCAGCTTCTTTGGCCTTCTCCACCTAAGCACGCTATAGTGACCGGGTCCTCCAACCCTCCCTCCCTTTTTTTTTTTTTTTTTTTTTTTTTTACACCACCTCTAGCCCTGCAGGCTTGGCCGCTGAGAATGAAGAGAAAAGAAGAGGGGGATTTAGAGCCTCCCTTTCCCCTCTTTTTCTCCTCAACTTTTCAGCCAACATAAGCGGCGTTTAGCACATTCAGTCCCCCCCCCCCCCTCCAAATGGCAGCGAATGAGAGAAGCAGTGGGGGCTCCTCTTTTGTCCGTCTGGTTACCCCTTTTATTTACTCTGGATTTACGAAGGGGTTTTGCCGGCGCTGGGACCACATGCTCTTGACACACACACACACACACACACACTCACACACACACACACACACACACACACACACAAACACGTACCGTTTCTATTCACACTAGAGGAATGGCCGGCCCTCTGTGGCTCTGGGGATTACAGCTCCTCTGGCTATAAGCGCATGCTAGCAATATGCTTCACACTCCCGTAACATACAACACAGGCGAGCGCTAACGAGTAGAACATAATCCCTTTAATGATAAAACACACACTTGAGCGTCCAATTTCTAACAGCAAGCAACCCATGAGGAGTGTTTGTGTGACCGCACCATATGGTTTACTGCACCCGTTCAGATGCATACAGTAGATGAGGGCTCTAAACAGGACTGTTTTTAGGAGCAGCCAGCGTTTTTTTACGCTGATTATTTCCTGATCTGTGCTTGAACAAGCAGCAGCCCCTTGCACTGGACCATAAAACAACAGCTTAGTAAACAGCAAGCATGCTGACAAATTGGTAGCGCTCAAGCCGGAGTCATTAACAGCCCTAAAACCTGTCAGAGCAATTACAACAAACTCTCTCCTTCAGCAAGTCTCCCTGCTAAACTTGCATGCCCCTGACCCACCTTCTTTGTAATTCCCCCCCAACCCCCCCTTCCCTTCTTGTACCACCAGGACTGTGGATCAAGGTGAAGGAGAGAAAGCTACCACTTTTGGCTCTCTCCTCCACTGCCCCAGAGAAACATGGAGGACAAGCCTCCGTCTCAAACACAGCTGTATCTGCATCCTGAGTGCTACGAATGAGCGGTTCTTTTGCATGAGAAGTAATGTGTAGTTGTCTTCCCCCCAAAAACACATCATTAAGTGTTCCCTTAAATGAAGTGGAATAAGAGCTTCT